TGGCACTAATGGGTGAATCCTTTGCAGCTGTGGGCATTTTCCATCAGTTCTTTATTCTTTTTCCAAAGTGTGGTGCTTGGTGGGAGAGATCTCTGAAGGCAGGATGATCAGAAGCAGGAGCAGGCTAGCCGTTGGTCCATTTTGGTCTGTTAAACCATCGGATGTGCCTAGATGGGGGTGCATCAGTGAACTAGTGGGCCAGGCTTTCGATTTTGATTTCGTGCATGAGGCTGACAGTGGTGAGCTAGCTTCCAGACATAGGCAGTTCCATAAGTTTCTGTTTCTAGACAGCACATAATTAGAGTAGCCAAACAGCACATCATCCATGCTGTGATGTCAGACCCTTCATGTGGTCTGTGGTCCATAAAAGCCTGGTGGAGGTACTGAGTAGGTTCCAGGAGGTTTGAAGTCAGCTGACCTCAGTTCATGCCTTGATTGGTCTATTCTCTAACAGTGATTCAAATGAGGCTTATTTTATTAACTTTTTTTTATTTAATTTTGTTTTTGAGAGAGTCTCATAGTGTGGCCCTGACTGGCTTGGCACCTGCTTTGTAGACCAGTCTGGCCCTGAACCCAGAACAGTTCTCCTGCTTCTGCTTCTCAAGTGCTGAGATTTCAGACGTATGTCATAATACCTGGCTTGATTCTGCTTACCTTAAAGGAATCTTGGAAGCTATAGTAATTTCAACAAATAAAGATTCTGCCATTCTTCCTGTCTGGAAACAATTCTGATACATTGTATATGCAAAAAGTTTGTGTACCTAACAGAATTTAAACAAAATGAAAGCAATAACTCTTCAAGAATACCAAACAGTGTGTGTGTGTGTGTGTGTGTGTGTGTGTGTGTGTGTGTGTGTGTGTGTGTGTGTGCTTAGTCTGAAAGTCATTTATATGCTCTTTTTGGTTTAAGAAGCATAATTCAATATATGTATTCAGATAGCTAAAGACAGCTTGCTAAGAATTAGAGTGGTAGCTCTGTACTTTTTAACTCCAGAGCATTTCATTTATTTACACAGTTTTTACTCTGCTTTTATTGGTAAGGCTGGATATTTTCAGAACTGTTACAGTGGGTCTTTTTCTATTAGAAAAACAGACTATTTGGCCACAGGTGGTTTTCATTTTTTATTTTTTCTTTCTTTTTCTTCCTTTCTTTTTTTGGTCTGAGGCATGTGGTTTGACAGCCTTTGAAATCTTCATGCTGTATATAATGTGCAGGTGCTCTTTTTTGTTTATAGAAATGCCTAATCCTTGTTTGAAATTTATTAAATGGTGTACCATCTGTAAGCTTCCCTAAATTCCATAGATTAATTAGCCTTTAAGGTTGCCTTTTATCTAACTTTTAGTATAAATTCTTCCATCTGGGAACCATCTCTTTTATGTGTTTGCTCAGTGTTCCATATACTTTAGCACTCTAGGATTAAGTATTAATTATGAACGCTGGCTTTCCCAGGAACAATGACACTGACTAAAACTAACATTCAGTGGAACAAAGTGGTATTGTCCTGAGAATGTTTTGAGATTGATGAATAATAAATTTGACATGGGTTTGCTCCCTCCCTTTACTCCTCCCCTTCCCCTTCCCCTTCCTCTCTCTGTCTGTGTATATCTGGTATTACTTTGATAGTCATTGTATTGAAAGCAGTTTTTATGCTGCTCGGGAATAATAACAAAAACAATTTTAGATGTTTATAGATCTGGGAACTATTGCAATGATAGGTATGTCAGATCATCTTCTTGTGGAGTTTCAGTTAGAAGTGAAAAGAAACCACTCTTTTTTGACAGCTCATGTAATACATTTCTTTGTGTGCTGTGACTGGAAGATGATCGACGGTATTTGATGTTGGGAGATCATTTGGTTATAGTTAACTCTATTGCTAGGAAATACAGTATTTGGGTAGCTATAAGTTTGGTCTTATAGTGTGCTAGATAGTTTTTATGTCCTCATGACACAGGTTAGGTTCATTTTGGAAAAGGGAACCTCAGTTGAGAAAGTGCCCCCAGCAGATTGGCCTGTGTGCAAGACAAGACATATTTTCTTAGTGATTGATGTGGAAGGACACAGCCCATTGTGGGTGGTGCCAGCTCTGTGCTGATGGTCCCGGGTGCTATAAAAAAGCAGACCGAGCAACCGCCATGGTTTCTGTATCAGTTCCTGCCTCTAGGTTCCTGCCTTGAATTTTTTTTTTTTTGACCCCTAAATTCCCATCTTCTATATATACCTGTACACAATAATTTTCAAGATAAATGTATGATTACAAAAATTAAAAAAAAGTTTTATTATTATTCTCTTGTACAATATATCCCAACCACAGCTTCCTCCTCCTCTACCCCTCCCAGTACACCCCACCCTGGCAGATACACTTTTTCCATTTTTTTCCCCCCAGAAAAGAGCAGGCCTCCTAGGGACATTAACCAAACAGGTGCAAGAAGCTACAATAAGACTAGGTACAAACCTTCAAATCAGGGCTGGTCAAGGCAACTCAGTAGAAGGAAAAGGGTCCCGAAAACTGACAGAAGAGTCAGAGACACCTTGCTTCTGCTCGAACTGTTAGGAGTCCCATCACAACCATAACATATATGCAGAGGACCTAGTATAGACCCATGCAGTCTCTGTGATTGCTGCTTCAGTCTCTGTGAGCCCGCTTTGAGTTCTTCCCTGAATTCCCTGGATGATAGACCACAAACTATAAGATGAAATAAATCCTGTCCTCTCCAAGTGGATTTTGGTCATGATGTTTATCATAGCAGTAGAAATCCTAACCACGACTGTTTTCTTAAAAGAGACTGATCTGAAAATGTGTAACTGCTTTTACTGATGGAGTTATGATACACTCGGAGTAGAATGTTTTAAAAAGTCCATTGAAAACAGATAGACATCAGTAACTCAACCATCTATCTACATAACCTAATGAAGTCTTAGGTTATGTACATAGTGGTGTATGTAATGGTGGCTTTTTTTTTTTTTGAGACTGCTTTGCTACTTTGTACCCAAAGAAATTAGACAAATGATGTAACAGTAGAATCTATATTAATAAAAAAAGTAACAAAAAATTGTTAAGTGTGACAATGGTAGATATTTTTTGTTATTAAGCAAAAATAGTATCAGCTATGACTTTAGGTTTCAAGGTGTAAAATTTAAGTGAAAGCTAGTTAGCATTGCTGAAACCACTGAAGCCATTTGGTATATCTTCCAAATTATAAGAATATAAGATATTCAAATTAGATGAGCACAACTGAAGGGGGCCTTAGGGGAGGAGACAGCATTAAGTGGGAATAAACAGCATGCATAACATTGAGAATATACTGTGGAGATTATGCAGTAGAGAAGATTGGAGTTAAGGAGAACACATGGTTAGGTAGTGAGTGCTCACATCAAAGAAGGCAAAAGTGAAAATGGGTAGTCAGGATGGTTGATTGACTAGCTTGTTCTTACAGGAGTGTGTTTACAGTCAGTAGCAGGATGAGATAGAAGATAATCCACTTGGCTGTCTGTTGCAGTAGTCTGTGGATGCATTCACTAGTGCCTGTTTAGGAAGGTGACACTAGAAATAGAGAATAACAGAATATTTGCATTGAAATAAACTTGGTCATTAGCATATACTCTATACACTTTTAGTGTATATTGTGTATATTGTGTGAAAGATTGAGAGAGGCAGTAAATATAGAGAATAAAAGATAATGATTATTTCTTCCTGTCTTTGTAGGTTTACTCTTGTTGTTCTTTATTTGTGTGTTTGTTTGAGACAATCTCTCATATGGACTGGCTTTGGGTTAGCAATCCTCCTGTTTGTAGTCTAGGATGCTAGGTTACAGGTGTGTCCCTCTAAGCCTAGCCTCTTGTATATTTTGAGAGGTATGTAGTACTGAGAAAAGGTATTGAAAACAACTCCGCATGAGATGTAATCTTCTGAGTAATTGGATCTAGGGTTTGGGAACTTAATTAAATTAAGACCAGCAATGGTGATTAAGGCAGTATGTGTATTTGGCCCTTCATATCCATGGATTTTAACATTTATGGATTCAACTTTCTGAGGTAGGAAATGAAAAAGAAAGTTGCACCCATACTATAAACTTTGCTATGGCATAACAACTGCTTACATTGTATTAGATTAAGTAATCCAGAAATAGTTTTGCGGTGGTTTTCTACCTTCCTAATGCTGCAACCCTTTCATATAGTTTCTTCCTCATGTTGTTGTGACCCCGACCATAAAATTATTTTTGTTGGCATTTCATAATTCTAATTTTGCTTTTGTCTGAATCATAATGTCAATATTTCTGTTTTGGAGGTAAAAGTTTGCCAAAGGGGCCATGACCCACACTTTGGGAACCACTGGTTTATAGTATGAATGTTGGTATAAGTAGGCTGTATTCAAATATAAAGCCATTTTGTATAAGAGATGAGCATTTGCAGGCTTTTGTATCTGGAATTCTAGACCCAGTTCTTCATGATGAAAACTGAGAGAAAATTGCATATACATGTACTTAATGGCATGCACGTGGGGGTCAGTGGACAGCTCTGCAGAGCTGATTCACTCCTCCACTCTCACAAGTACTGGGATCAGACACCGGACTTGGGCCCCAGGCTTGTTCAGCAAGTGAGCCAAACCACTGGTCCAGACATTTTTCTTTTTCTTTTTAAAAATACGGTCAGACTGGCTTCAAACTTGCAGCAGTCCTCCTGCCATAACCTCCCGGAGTCCTGGGATTTTCAGTGTGAGCCACTTAAATGGCTTCTTTGAGGCACATTCTGGGGGAGTTTCTGAAGAGCAGGTTAGATGCTCAGCACTGTGCTTCAGAATGCACCAGCAGCTAGGATTGAGAGAGCCTTTACTCATTTAATTGAGCTTACTTTATTTGATCAGTATAATTAAAATGTGTTTGAAAATAACCACTAATGTATATTTGACCAAAGTTGTTTAGAAGTAATCAGCATGTTTTGATATTTTGAGGTGGTCACAAAACCAGCTGGAAGATTCATTGTGACTTGTAACTTTTCCTAGATTGCTGTGCTAAGGAGACAGCAGCGGATGATAAAAAACCGCGAATCTGCTTGTCAGTCACGCAAGAAGAAGAAGGAGTATATGCTAGGACTGGAGGCCAGGTTGAAGGCTGCCCTCTCTGAGAACGAGCAGCTGAAGAAGGAGAATGGGTCCCTGAAGCGACAGCTGGACGAGGTAGTGTCAGAGGTGAGTGCTAGTGAGGCAGCTGGCTGAGGTGGGTGTCAACTGATTTCCTTTTTTTTTTTTTTTTTTTTTTTTTGGTAAGTAAATTGATAATTACTTTTTAAATCATATAAAATAGTAGTGCTAAGAAAATGGGTGTGTGTGTGTGGTAAGCACAAAAACATTTATTATAGGAAAAAAAATTACAACAGTGACCTTTTGAAGATATATGGGGAAAGGGGGGACCCATGGCTGAGCTCTGAGTCCAGAGCCTACAACAAGCTAAGCAAGTCTTCCAGCACAGAGCCACATCGCCAGCCTGAAAGGTGATCTTTTGAATTATCCCTCTCCATCCACATACAAACACTATTTGCTTTTCTTAGGTTTCGTCCAACCAGTTACTTCAGTAATTTTTCTTTCTTTTTCACTTCTTAGTTTTTTAAACAAGACCCCACTATATAGCCATGGCTGTCCTGGAACTCACTTTGTAGACCAGGCTGGCCTTGAACTCACTGAGATTTACTTGCCTTTGCCTCCTGAGTGCTGGAATTTGAACCACAATGCCAGCTTTTTATCTTTTTGGACCAGGTGAATCACATTGAGGCTCCTGAACAATCCTGTCAACTCTTTCTTCTTGTTATTCTTACAAATTTTTTTAAATTTAAATTTTATTTTGTAATTTTGAGGACCTCTAGTCAGCTACCACATTTAGTCCTTATAATCTTTTTTCTCCATATTCTACAATGACTCCTGAGCCCTGGGAAGAGGAGGTGTCATATGTATGTTCCCTTTAGGGTTCAACATTCTGAAGTCTCATATTCTTTCCACATTGGCTAGTTGTAGGTCTCTGTGTTAACCACCATCTGCCATAATTAGAAGCTTCTCTGATGATGGTTAAGGGATGCGTTAATCTATGGTATGATGATAAGTCATCAGGAGTTGGCTTAAATACTATGTCCATTTAGCAGTCTAAGAGGAATAGGTTTTCTCCCAGACGCTATAACTTATGTAGCCACAGGTTCTTGGCCCAATAATGGTGCTGGGTAAGGGTTTCCCTTATGAAGCAGTACTAAAATCCAATCAGAAAGTGGTTGATGACTTCGATGATGATTGTGCCACTATTGTAAACAGTGGGCATGTTTTTCTAGGCCAGTCATCATTGTAGCTCCCAAGGTTCACAACTGGGTAAGATTGATGCTTGCCTTTTCTCCAACACTGTGAAAGTCTGCAAGTTGGGATGGTACTTGCAGGTCAGCACCAACTTGATTTCTCAAATGTTGTATGTCTCAAGTATGATATAGATATGCATAGTTTGTTTTGGAATGGATTTTCATTTATTGATACAAATTTAAAGTCAATTTGATATGTATATTTCTCCTCTTGTTTAGGTATTGTGTTTATATAAAAATATAATGTAGTACAGATTATAGATAATTACCTATGATAGTCAAAGCTTAGAGTTAAGTTAGTTAGGTTTTTCAAGATACACAAAGATGTATTTGAGATAGATAGAAATTCTTCAAACCTTTCAAAGACCTACAAAATATGGCATTTAAAATGGTTTAGGGTTTTTATAACAATGAGACATAATTGCTCTTGGCAATACCACCTACACCAAAAAAAAAAATAAACATCAAAAAAATACATTATAAAATTTACTTCCAATATAACAAGACTAGCCATTTAAACAAGATACAACTCTTGTCTAAACTGTTTAAATTTATACTGTATATACTGGACCCACAAAAAAATAACTACTGATTCAAGATAGACATTACTACAGAGTTCCTACTTCATAAAAGAGTCTGCGAGACAATATACAAAACACAAAAAAAAATAACTAACAAACTACAAATACAAAAAAACAGTTTAAAGTTTCCTACATTACTAAAGAGTCTGCCAAACACACTATGGCCTATGGACTAAAAATAAAAAATTACAAAAAAACTTTAAATAACCAAACAATAAGTTGTTTCTGTCATTTCTAAAATTTATATACTATCCTTCTATGGTCTTTAATAAAATTAAAGACAAATAATTATGATTATAATATTCCTTAGTTAAGCTTAAAAATAAATTACATATAAAACTTTAGACTCACAAAGATAAAATAAATGATAAAATATTTTCTTAAATCTTACTAAATGTTAATAGACTAAATATTATTAACTATAATTCTTATTAGATAACTATTGTATAATATATTTTACTATATTAAGGTTAAAACCCTTCTTTTTATTTAAACAAAAAAGAAGAGATGATGGGAGATGTCATTCTGTATATGTTTCTCATACTGGTTAATAATAAAGCACTGTTGGCCAATAGGAAAGGAAGATAGGAGGGACTAGGAGACAAAAAGGAAATAGGAAGTAGTGAGGAGGGGTCAAGATGGAGAGTCTGAAGAAAGCAGTATTCCTCCAGCTCCCCGGTAAGAAAAATACATAGATCAGCAGAAATGGGTTAATAATTAAGGCAGAGCTAGCCGATAAAAAACAAGTAACCGGGCCAACAACATTGTATCAAATACAGAGTCTCTCTGTGTTATTTGGGGCTGGCGCAGCAGCAGGACAAGACCAGCGGTGGCGGACGGAAACACCATACACCTTACACAAGTATGTGGTGTCTTCATCAACAGGGTCTTACTATAAAAGTCTGGAGAATAAACACAATAGCCTGTAATGTTTGGGGATCTATGGGGTCTCACTGGTCAGTAACTCCAAAAGTAACCCATTTCTAACACTGGGATTTTTTTGTTAGTCTGGTGTCTAGAAAGTGTATTGTTGCTTCATTGTAGGGTAACTCCACTGTAACTCTTTTTATTTTCTTCTTTAAAAAAGGAAATAATACAAAATAAAATGTGGTTTAAATCTGCCTGTTCATTTGACCCCTATCATGCTCCTTGGCTTTCTGTGCCATGAGGGTGAAGCAAAGGATGCCTGTTGACTCTTACTCTGTCCCTTCTATCTTGCCCTTGAGTATGTGAGAATGCTCTAGTGTGATCTGAAGACAGCACCTTGAGAGAAGAGAGACAAGTGACAGAAGTGTCTCGGAATTCTTGGGTACCCACAGAAATATAAAGATAAAAGTTGTGCTGTGCTTGTTTTTTTTTTTTTTTTAATTCTTTCCACTGTTGGAAAAGAAAATGTGGAAGGCTTTGGTCTTCTGCAGAGTACTCTTTCTTTACCTTGAGGTGTTTTATTTTAATTTTATTGTTTTTTTTTTTTTTTAATGAGAAAAGGTATTCATATACCTTGTACAAAGGAGGACTCTTAGTTACTGCTCTTTGGAATGTTGACACGTAGTTTCATCCTATTTCATTTCCTTTAGAACCAGAGGCTTAAAGTCCCGAATCCAAAACGAAGGGCTATCTGTGTGATGATTGTGTTGGCATTTATAATGCTGAACTATGGGCCCATGAGGTGAGTATTCAAGTGTTTTAGATATGAAAACTAAAATTTAAATGCTAGTTGTTTGTTACTGTTTAGATTTACTCATAAGCAAGAGGAAAACTCCTTTGTTTTGAGTAAAGATCAGCATTCCAGATACTGGTTTATCATGTGGGAAGTATGGAAACAACATGCCAAGCAGAGGAAAGAGCATGCTAAAAGCATGATAAAATATATGACATGGTTTTAAAAAATGAAAAGTTCAGTTTTTGTGTGTGTGAGTGTGTTATATATACACACATATATATATATATATATATACACACACACATATATATATTTGATTTTGTTTTTGTGTTTATACATATATAATTTAGTAAATTATGTTTATAAAAAGGGACAACATATGTATTATTCAAAGTGCTTTCTTATTTTTAATTATGTTAGTACATAATTTTCTTTTAGTAACTTCATTTTTTTTAAGTATAGATACAGTATTACTTGACATATTTCAGAAATTTTATGACTTAGGAACCAGTTTATGCTATTAAAGTTAGAAATTATTGAGAATAACTTACCAATGACTTATATTCATTGATATTTATTATGTTATAGACTAAATAAAATGGATTTTAAATATTTGTTCACTTAATCATAAGTTATTACATTGTTAATATAATTACATGTCTAAATTTTCAAATATTTATTGGCACAGAAGAGCATAACTAGTATTGTTTCATAGTTTTTCATATAAATATTTGGTATCTGACTGACTACAAACTACCAGGATCTCATGTCTCTTTTTTTCTGTCTATTGTGATGTATTGCTAGGCTTGAAACTGATGAAGAAAAATCAGATTCTGGTGAGAGAATCTCACTGAGGCTGCAGAGTTTGGGGATCCCTAGGGTACCTCTTAAGCTGCGCCTTTAAAGTGTGTGTTATATTTAACCCTTCTCCTGTGAATAGGCATTTACATCTTTCCAGTTATTTATAGGTGTGCACATGTAAGTCTGCATGTTGTGTGTGTGTATAAAATCATACCATATCATAAAGAAGGCACCAGCTTACAGAAGTGTTCATTCTGTTACCCGTTTTTAAATTCTGGATATTAGGAATGTTTTTTGTTTGTGTGTCCATCTTCTGGGAAAAAAATGGTCAATTTATTTCCACTGGTTTCCTTGCCCAGCCTGAGATACATAAGTGGGCTATCACGTCAGGTCTTCCTGTGTGTCATTACTGAGGCCTTCAATGCTCTGTCTTCAGAGACTTTTTTGTTAGTTTCAGCCCAAGTGCTGTCCCCTCCCCTCCCCCACTCCTACCCTATTCTCCTTCCCGCCCTTAGGATTTTTCTGGACATCTTTCTTTCCTGGCTGTGCTTACTATCCTGTCATCCCCCTCACTCTCTTTCTTCCTTCAGTTTTCTAGTCAGTTCCTTTCCTCTTAAACACTCTGACTTCTATTAGCTTTACTTTCCTTCTTTCCCTGCAAGAATTTTGTTCTGTGTTTTTGTTTTTCAAGCCAAGTTTTCTCTGTGTAGCTCTGGCTGTCCTGGAACCCAGTCTGTAGAGGCTAGCCCTGAACTTGGAGATCCACCTGCTTCTGCCTCCTGAGTGCTGGGTGTAAAGGTGTGTGCCAACACATCCGGCTCCCTGAAAGAATTTTATCTGTTTTCTGGTGTCTTGTTGATGCCTGGCATGTAGTTATCTCTCAATAGATAGACACTATAGTACTAATGAGCAAGTGCCCTCTTCTCAACTAGAAATACGTTCTTCAAAATTGTTGAAAGAGGTAGCTTGGTAGTAGAGTGCTTGACTCGTGTGGATGAGGTCCCCAGCACAATTCTTGGTAGTAACAAACAAACAGAACCAAAATGCTTTAGCTAGTTGTTATAGTCCCCTTTTAAAACTTATTTGCAGTCTTGATTAAAAGAATCTCTCTTCATGTATGAATTGCTGTGAACCACTTGCATGTATCAAGATACACATCTAGTACTGATTCATAGCCTGCTTGACATATCTTTCATACATTTACTTATTGCTATTTTATGCCCATATGTATACCAGTCCTAAACTGAATATCTTCCTTTTGTCGTTCAGCTTACTCTGTTAGTTTAGCTATGAATCTTGGATGCTGTCCCCACTGACATTCCTAACATTGTTCAGTCACTTTTCACCAGTTACACAATTTATTGTAGGCATTTTCTTCTACTTGCGAAAGTTTTTACTTTATGCTGTTATTACATTTTCTTTAAGGTCTCAGCTCCTACATAATTCACTACTTTTCTTTTGTAGAGATAATGCAGTGTTCATCCCAGAGCACAGACACAGTTATACATGCTCATTCACTGTTTCTAGGAAACTGTATATGTTGCTTTCAGCCCCTCACATCTTGTGAGTCTGTGTGCAGTACATGTTCATCTGTTAGGTTGAACATAAACAAATATTTATAGGGCACTTAACTATTTTTAGGTACTGAGTAGAGAATGAGGGATGCAAGCCTGAATGAAAATACAGTCTAGTAAGAGAAGCATATATGTAAACAACTAGCATGGGGAAGAACTATGAAAATGCCATGTATGATAAAGGCATTTAGAAAAGAAAATAAACACCTGCTTTTCTCTACACTCACTTCTCTCAACAACAGGTATGGGTTTTCCATACATGTCATTCCTTAGTTCTTTGGCTATCAGTTGGCATGCCGATAGTTGAACTCAGTCCTCAGGCTACTAAACATTTACACAGGCTTTCTTCAGTCATCAGCCACAGTCTTGGGCTGTGACTTAAAACTTATGCACACTAGCTATACATTACACATTCTCTAATAATTGTTAAAGATACTTACAAAACTCAGAGAAATGTTTTCCTAATTATTATTGGTTCATTTTAAACAACTCTCGTGCATTCCACAAGGTAAGCCAAATACAAGAAATGCATAAACTAAGATATAGTAGAGGTGTGAGAAACTGGTGTGCCATCTGTAGGTTGATTCTCCTCCAAGCATCTTCTTGTGCTTGCCAGCCTGGACATTCTCCAGATCTCCTGGTTAGATAGAGCTTGTGTTATTATATTGGTGTGATGATTAAACTATTGGTCTTTGGTGATTTAACTCAATTTCAGGCTCTTTCCTATTCTTGGCAGATAGGGAATAAGACCGAAAATTCCAACTCACTAATCAATGGTTAGAAATCCTGGCAAACTAGCTTCCTTCCTTCATGATTTACCTCCCACTTTCATAGGCTCAGATATGGCTGGAAGAGTTTTTTGTTTGTTTTTTCTAAAGGTATTTCCTCATCACTGAGGAAATCCCAAGAGTTTTATGACTTTTGTACCAGAAACTCAGGAAGACACTAAATGTATTTCTTCTTATAAAATCATATTCATATTACTGAACAAACAGAAGCAAAGAATCAATCCTGGGAGACTCTGCACATGACATTCAGTGAATAAGTGAAGATTAGATTATGCTGTAGGAGGGAGGGTAGGATGGGGTTGGAGGAAACATTTTGTGAATGTACTTTTGAGTCAACAGAAATTTGGAACAAAAAGACTGGAACAAGAGTTTTAAATGAGTTAATGATCTTCACAGCCATCAAGTGAATCTCATTTCCACAGTAGATGGTTCCATTATGAAATGAAGAGACAGACAGTGGCCCCTTTTTAGCAAGAAGATTTGATTTCAGAAAAGAATTAAATGGCTAGGCTAGCACAAAAAGGGCAATTTAAGAATGGGAGAGTGTTAAGGTGCTTGAAAATCTTGAAGTGCAACCAGCTGAGATCTTTTCCTGTGAGGCTTAGGGAACAGAATGCCAGGCTATGGTAATATTAAAAAGTTCAAACTTTAAAATATGTTTAAAAGCTTAAATTGAAGAAAAGTAAAAGAAGAGCTGAAAGATTTGAGGAAATAGAAGTTTCTGAACACGTTGGTATGTCTCCAAGGAAACAGACAAAACTGGATGCAAAACTCATAAAAGCAGAGAACTATTTTTTCTAGACAAGATTGGCATGAGCAGGAAACATCAAAGCCTGGAGAAAAACAGGGATTCCAAAACTGAAATCTGTTGCATAACCAGATGTCGAGAATTAAGGTTTGCATTATTCAAGAACATCTTTTGATTGGCCCCATTGTCTGCAGTCTCTTCACCTGCTGGATGGAGTCTGCCAGAGGTGAAGAAAGTTTCCAGATGTCCCTTATCATCTGGGAACTTTGTTCTAGAAGATAGTTCTAGAACAATCCAGTAACACACATGCACACATGCACTCAAACTTTCATACCCTATAAAACAATCAAACACAAAAGCAACAGAGCTGGAAAGATGGCTCAGTAATTAAGAGCAATTGTTCTTATAGAGGACCTGGGTTGGAGTCCCAGCACTTACATGATGGCTCACAGATGTCTATAATTCCAGTTCCAGAGGCTCTTACTCAGGCATGAGACTACACACACAATGTACAGTTACACATGGGAATTAAAATTTATACATATAAAATAAATATTTAAAAAGCTATAAAAATTCCCCTTTAAAATAGCAATAACAAGAAACTTTAAGTAATTTCTATTATATTTTAATTGGTGCAGATTATGAGCTCTATCTAAATTGTCTTGAATACCACTGAATTAAATTTGGCCAAACAAATGAATAGTTTAACTAGCTATTTCTAAAAATTTTAAATTTAAGAACTTAAACTCTTTTTGATATTGAAATTAATTATAGTGTTTCAGATGTACAGTGTAGATGGATGAGTCCTTTTGTGCCTCATTGTTGTGGGCCCCTGTGAGCATAATATAACAATTTGCCACGTATACCTTAAAAAATACCCTCTGATTTGGCAGTGGTGGTGTACATCTTTAATCTCTGCACTTGGGAGGCAGAACTAGTCAGATCTCTCAGAGTTTGAGGCCAACCTCTTCTACAAGTGAATTCCAAGACAGAAACTGGTTTCAAAAAAATCAAAAATAAAAAACAAACAAACAAAAAAACCCCAACAACTTCCTGAAAGTATTGGTGATTTAATATAAAAATACCTTATATCTA